TTCTTAAATTTTTGATTCTTTATTCGGGTTTATAAGCCAAAATTATAGCTTTATCAGAGCAAAGACACTATGTCTAGAAAATAACCTCCGTAAAAAAATTTTGTATGGGTATCTAAGGCCACGCCCAATTTTAACAAATTTTGGCATTTTTTAGAGAGCTTGCAAAGCGCAAATTCTATCATATCAAAAGTTTCATGAAAACTGTAATTACAATATTTTACTAATTTCCTCTTCATCCTTCTAAAAATAATTGGTGGCAATCCGAAAGGAGGGGTGGAGAGGGTGGGGGGGAGATGGGCGGAAGAATGAGGAAAAAGGTATAAAAAATGGAAATCGTTTACGTTGATTTTTAACAAGTTGCTAAATGTACTAAATCGAAAAGAAATTTTTTGTTAGCTGATTCGATTTTCCCAATTTCCAAATCTTGCCCTTGTCTTTTTCGTTCTTTTACCCCTCTCCTCCTCCCCTCCCCCTACCTCCACCTGTCATAGAAAATTGCTCATCAGGGCAAGTACCGAGAGTGAGAAGTATAAAGCTTTGCACCTGTCACCACCGCTCAAAAGCCTAATTCCTTCACTACGTTTCGTCTCCAAAAGATTTCTTCATCTTCAGAAAACTTCTTACATTACTGCAAACGAACAAATGTCGTCAGAGAGAGAGAAATTGTAAAAGAGTGTGCTGCAAAAGCATTTTATTCGCACCGGTATTGGATTACACTGGGCTCTTTGTGGGCTTCTGCTCCTGGAATTAGTACCGAAGTACATACCTCGTACAAGTGCACATCGATATGTCTGAGGAGTACCTTTGTGGCGCCGTTTTACGGACTTCGTTATCACCTTTCGCTACGTTTCGAGAAAATGTTGGGACGTGTCCCAGACGTTTTGGTTTTCTAGTTTCGTAAGAGCATAACAGCTATATTGTGTCAAGGACCTCTTCTCACTATCCACTCCTCACGTTCACGCCTATCGAGAGCGGATTCTATAAAGGGGTGAGAGGCCTACTCATTCTTTCAGTCTAATTCGTTCAGTTACGAAATTCATCCTTGAAGCGAGATCTGGTCCTTAGCTTGATAATTACCCCATGTTATATCTCATTGTCTCATTTCGAGAAGAGTTTACAGCCGCATTTCTCTTCTCTGTAATCCGCTTCCTTGAGCATCTTCTCACGGAATAGAAATTTGGTCCCTAATATGGAAACTTCATTCCTCTCTCTCTCTCTCTTCCTCTCTCTTTCTGCAGGGCAACGGGGGGGGGGGGGGGGGCACAGCCACTCAAGGATGCAGAGTTAGGTTTACTTCCATCCATACATTATTTGCATATGAAGTTCCAATTCAAAGAGCAACCATTTCTCTCAAAGTCTATCAAACGAGAACTGGTCCCTGTTGTCCTTTCTTGACGAATACTTGGTTTTAGCAGATTTTTTAATGTTTATTTCAACAAAAATTTGAATATAAACCATGTCAGTACGTGTGATCGCTGGCACACTGGTGCCAGTTCTCGCAAAATAAATTTTGAATTTTCCTAAACATTGCATAGGACCAGCTCTCTCTGGAGGGGAGGGGGGGGGGGGTGGCCGCAGAAAAAAATAACTTTTATGCGAGAACTGGTCCTTAGTTGGTTACAAAAGAAGCCGAGTTCAGAGTACTTCATTGATCTTGCTACTGAAATTCAAATAAAGCTTACGACAGATATGCCTTGGGGACCAGTTCTCTTGTATGTTTCTCTTATTTGACTCCCTCTCCTTTACACGTAAAATCTCCAGAAATTCCATGAAATACCATCGCATACTGTTTATAATTTTGTCATGAGCCTACAAAGCTTTGTTCGCCTTTTTTTGGCTTGGCAGCATCTTTACATCTTTACGAGTTTTCGTAATTTTTCGACGTTATAAGTATTGCGATAGCATGGGGACCAGTTCTCGCAAGATTGCTCACTTTTCACTGTGACCTATGGCGGCAAATAGCAGAAGCGAAAAAATCTTGCGCAAAATGACGTCTTTATCTGTAAAAATTCTGCAGTTTATACTTTACATGGATACTATTCTCCTTGAATTTTGCTCCGCGAATTTTCACAGTGCTTTCTAGCATTTACTTTTCAATGAGACCCAAAGAATGCAGGAATGATTCTATAGTTCCCAAATGTACTCGAGGACTTGTTTTCGATTTTTGCGGTCTCCCATTTCCCAAAAAGTCTCTGCCAATGCCTCATACGATTGTAGCTCATCATTCACAGACGAGTGAGCACTTCTTTATCGGGAAACATGTCCATCATGAGCTTTGGTGCATCCTCTACTTTTTATAATTCGTCGATACACTCTCGGTTAGTTTTTCTAACGCGACCTTAGCCAGTTACGAGAATCCGATTAACTAGCGAGTCGAGGTTTTTACTTAATGGTTGCACTTCTGCGGGGAAGCGAAGAGTTTCTTCTTCATGGTTTGCAATTTTGATCGTTTATTTAATGGCCGATGATTATGCAGCTTTGCTTCGCAGAGAAATTGCCCTGACATCATTTCTAGACGCCACTAATTGACGTCTTTCGTGTTCCTGGAATATTTGAAAGCGCTAATAACATTCTATAAATTCTTTTGTGACCTATGTTATAGCGATAATGCGAAGCAATTCTCAGCCTTTTCCATAAGATTTGTTTTTTACCCATGATAATACGTCTTTTAGGTTGTAGAGAAAGCTCTTTGACAGGTTTAAAGATTTCATTTTCTGAGTAATTTCGAACTTTCTTGATTCGCCAACAAATTTTAGCGTTAATCATCATTTCCAGCTCTGCTAACCGTACAAATAATAGAACTAATAAAAGAACTGTAATAAAAAAGGTAATGAACCATGCCTAGATTCAGGGATAAGAGCACCTTCAAGGCAGATTCTATTTTATTTTTCTAAATATTTTTCACCGAAATCAATTTATTGCTTTTTCTATTTTATTACCATCTTTTAATTTAACTAATCATGAATCCTCTTCTCCAACGTCACATGATTTCAAATCTCATTCCTATTTAGTCAAAATTTTGATTTTAAAATTCCAGTTGGATACCAGTTTTTCAGCTTACATACGTAGATCAATATTTTGAGAAAAAAGCGGACAGGCACTGCAATTGCATTAATGCTTTTTTGATAGTGGAATCTACTGATTTTTATTTTTTTTTAACCTTTCAGACTGGATTTTTTTCAATAATTTTTTTGTTTCTCCTTTAGCAATACTACTAAAGCTTTCTCATGCTATGAGTATAGACTTTTTGAGCATGCAAACTAATTCTCATCCTATAGGTATGAAAAGTAGACGAGAACTGGAATTCAGCAAAGTTGTTCTTTCTGCAAATTGAACAATTAAATTACGTTCTAAAAAGTGACCAGTGAGCGAACATTGCGAACTCTAAACAAACGAAGTTATGTGGCTTGTTTACCCTTTTGGAAAATTGACAGAAATGAGGGAACGCAAGAATCCATAAAGAGCTATGCATTCCCTGAAATCGCTATTTTTTGACTTCTATCTCCCCCTCTTGCTTGTATCTTTTCCTCTGGAGGATAATTTCAATCTTTCTATCTTCTTTAGACATGCCCACCTCTCCATTGGGAATGGCAGCTCTCCTCTCTTGTTTTTGCCGAAATTTATCTTTTGTGTGAGAAGTGTCTCGACTGAAACATCATGGCTCACCGCGCAAGTTTTTGCTTCGTCCTTGTGATGCGATGTGGTGAGCCACGCTGATGAAATTTTCATGAAAAGTACTCTTCTAGGAGAAAACAGTAAATGCATTGCGAAATTGGTAAGGTCAGCAGGGGATCTAAATTTATGCGGGCAATAATAGTGATATGTAAAAATACCGAATTTTTCAAACGTATGAGAATAGCATATAGAAAATTTTTGAAGACATAGTGACAGCTACGCCCCTTTACTTAACGGGATGAAAAGCATGCAAGTTTTGGTAAGCCTTTGCCATGTGTAACGCCACGCCCCTTCATATAAAAATCACTTTCCCCGTTCTCATAAAATCATTTCTTTTTTCATATTTTGCCGTCATGTTTCTTACTTTTCACTTTTTTCCACAACATACCTTCTCTCCCCATCCCCCCCCCCCTTTCCCCACTTTTCCAGTAATTTGCTTTCATTTTCCTCCACATTCGAGTTTTCATCTATAAGATGTTAGTATATCGATGGTTTAGACCCAGAGAGGATAGGAAAATCAATTTTTTTAGATTTTGCGATTTTGCAGTGTTCTCGAGTTAGTCCAAAAATGTTTTTTTTCAAAATTCGTTTAGAAGTGCATTCTCAGCTGAACCATTATGCTCACCCTCACTCTATGTGACTCCAATCGGTGTCGCTTTTGTTTTTGGCACGGCGGGGCCCCGTCGTCGCCCGCGTCATCGAAGCCGCCGGCGCGGGGGATGTTCGTCGGGTGCTGCATTGGAATTGAGGGGCGCCAAGGCATAATACCCAATAGAAGGGGGTTGTGGATGGATGGATGGAAGAGCGGGGGATCGATGCAAAGGCTAATTCCACAGCCGTGAGTCTGTGTGTGTTGGTGGCTGCCCCGTGTCCGCCATCTTCAATAGCCCTCTATTGTTCTTCTTTACTCAAGCATCGTTTACTCGTTTACTCGCCTTCACATTTCATAATTTTTGTGCCAGTTGTCCGGGTTTCCCTTCTTGAAAGCTGGTTTTTTAGAAGAGTGGTAGACATTTTCGTGCGATTTTCTGCCCGTGGCTGTCGTTTCGAATCCCCAAGCGAGCTAAACGATCCCTGATAAATGCGTTTTCGATATAGCGTCGCTATGGCCTAGTCTTTCCAAAGTTTTTCCGCGTCAAGCGCTCGCCGGCTGCCGCCCTGCCGCGCCCGCATCATCTCCCCTTCCCCTTTCGTATTTTTGCAGCGGCATTTGTCCTCAAATTCCCGATTCACTAGCCTGGTTATAATTTGTACGAATTTCACGCACGATCACAGAATGTCTGTGCTCGGCGCTTCTTCACCCATTAATCTGCGGAATTTTTCAGCTCGAGGACCAAAACGAACGTTTACGTCTACAAAACCTACGATGTACGACACAGCTGCAGATGTTGAGGAGTTTTACTGAGAAGAGCAAACAGCTGAAAGCGGAAATGGCGATGAGCAGGAGTATTACGGTAAGTGTGAAGATTCTGTAAGATAGTGATTGCTCATAAGCCATTACCGTATTAACACAGTACTCATTTGCACCGTGTTACCTTGTAAGAACATTTATTCTCTGAAGAAGTTGATTCATAGTTTTTCTAGCGCTAAACGAGGGGGCAGGGTAGGGGAATAGGGACTACTAATTTTTTTTAATTTTTAGGTATTTTGTATGATTTCTTAAGGATTCATTTTATGGCACCTACGCATTACGCATTATTTCTGAAATGTTACAATTTAGCTGAGGGGCAAAGCGGGAAGGGAAGGGGTAATGATTTCACATCATATTTTCATTTTTTTCATATTTCTTGACTTGGTATTTAGTAGAATCATTTTGAATGTCATCTTAATATCACTCTTATATTTTTTCAAGTTTGTTGAATTTTTTTTCAATAAGGTTTTTCAAAGTGAACAAACTTGTCCGCTTCCTTTTCTTTCTCAGATTCCTTCGTCTTCATCCATTCTTTTTTTTTTCGCTCCTAGCAGCACAAACATATATTCTTGAATATCTTGAGACATCTTGCCCGTAAAAGAGCTACTTTTTTGAATCGTTGAAAAAATTGTCCTTTTGCTGATGTAATCTGTCACTTTCGCTTTTTCAAATGGCATGGAAGAACGGAGTACTTGAAAGTTGCGAAAAAGGGTTTGACTCGTTTTTCGCTAGTCAATGTCATCTGGTTTTCATTCAAAATTGTTAAATATGCCAAAACTCCAAATTTGTGAAGATTTGCTCTACTTTACAATCTAAATTCATGCAAAAAGTTCGTCTAATGTCGTAAAAGTACCACAGAATTTCTCTCATTCGGTCAGAGGTTATTCTTCTTTGAAAAATAGAAAACTTTTGATCTGTATTTCAATCATAAGCTCATTAGATTTTGCTAATTTCACTGTTTCCAATATTTTTTGCTCATTCTTTTAAAAAAGCCTAGGTTGTACCAAAGTTGCCCTCAAATTTGCATTTTTCGCAAATCAAAAGGTCAATCAGCTTATGATAATATGCTCACTAACATATTCTCGCTCACTGCTGGAGTTTTCGCTGAAAAACTAAAACCTGAGTTAAAAATGGTAGTAAAGGGAAACCAATTTTTTTCTGAACAAATAAACGTAAACATTATTCAAAACTACTGTGAAACGAATGTCTATCGATATTGTTTTAATTTTTCAAAATTGTGAACGTTAGTTTTCCTTATGCATACAGTTTTCCTTAACACACATGTGCACATTAGCTGTTCTGTGAAGCTCTGTATCATGTTTTTAATTTTATTGAAATAGGGGTGGGAGAGAAACGGGAAGGGGGGAGGGAGACAAGCAATTTTTGAAGGTGTTCATAGGTTGCACGCTCTCATTCGTCATAAGTCCTCTTATTCTAGCAATCTCAAGTTTGACAGAACATATGAAGAGTTCAAATTTGAACATTGTGGCCATTGTTTTTTTTTTGAATTTTTCTCGTTCTACAAAAGCTTCTCAGTTTTCGGCAAAATCAAAGCCTTTTTTTGCAGTCGTCATAATGGCAATAGCCATCAACCTCATTACTCTGCTTTAGCTCCAATTGCACATCGGCTGCCCTCGCTTGGCCAAAAGGGAGCTTTAGTCTGGGACAATTTATCATCCAAGAGCGCTCGGAATGCTTTAGTGGTCGGCAAATATCACTAATAGTACACCTTCATTTGCCCCCCCCCCCCCATTCAGGCTACCTCCGGTATTACGAGGATGTTTTCTCATTTCAGGGCACATTGCCAGTGATGCGAGACAACGAGAATCGTACATCGGACGATTCTGGTCTGACCAGTGATGACACCAGTGAACGACGTCTCTTAGGTACAAGTGCTATTGAATCAACACCGAGGCAGCAAAGGAAACCAGGTAGATATGTTGCAAAAATTTTGAACTATATAAAACCGCAAATATCCAACGAATCTAGAGAATCTAAACGCTTGCTTCCTACTGTTTTTTTTTGCGGAAATGTTATTGAAAATTTGCAATTTGTATTTTCTCTGATGTGTTTTTTTTTGTTTAGAAGTCTCCACTGTTTGATTGTTAAGTTCTGTATCTTCATTTGCCCTTATGTGTGTTTTAAAGTCATGAATTACCCCCCCCCCCCGCCAAGTTTATACAACTGATAGAAGATGCTCTCTGAAAATCTTTTACTCATAGTCCGATATGGAATTTCGAGTAAAAGGTCACTGCTCTGTGTAGGACCTTCAAAATTGCCAGGTATCTTCTTAGCTCCGCCCTTGCCACGCCCTTTTTGGCATTACCTCTTCTGTACGAGTTGCAGTCCAACTGTCGTGGTGAATTAGAGTTGATACATGCCGTTTGGCCCCGCCCCTTGCCACGCCCTTTCTTGGCATTCAAATTTTTTGCATGAGCTACTACAATTTAATCATCTCAAATAGGTTTTGGTAGACAGAGCTTTTCCCAAACTTCATGCGAGGAACGCCGTCTGCAATCAACTATTTCTAACTCCGCCTCTTGCCACGCCCATTTCTGGCATATCCCGAAATTTGCAAAAAATACCATAGATTCAACCTCTAATACTTCTTCGTACTCTCTGACAGTCCTGCACTTTGTATCAGCAACGAATCACCATCAAAAATAGGTGATGACAGCTGTTTTCTCCGCCCCCTTATCACGCCTCTTTTTGGCAACTCGCCAAATTGATTCCACTCATCATTAATGTACAATCTAACTGTTTCAGTTCGACTCCGAAAAGAATCCAGTGAACCGGACAAGGGTTCGTCCACTTCGGACTCCTCACCATGGGAGGAGAAAGCAAAGCCTATACCAGTGCCAAGAAAATTGACCGGAAATAATAATTTTGTAAGATTTTTGGTTGCTAGGGGATTTTGGCAGATTGCCAGAGCTACTTTTGTTCAGATCGAACGAGATAGTTTGAATTCTTATGCTGATGATTACGAGTTTGACGTAGAGGATGAAATTTTCGAGGAGATTGCATCACCTGCCGATAAGGAGGGGTAGGTTCATGAATTTTTAGATTTTCAAAGGAGTTGCTGATTATTGTTCTTTCAGAAATCACAAATATAGCGGATATGTGAATCTTTCCGATTTCGTAGCAATCCGTGACGATAAGAACATTTACACGGACATTGTGAAACCGCCAGTCGAACGTCCTGCACTTCCCGAGCACAAACCGAAAGCCTGGGTAGGGGGCGAAGATTTATCCCCAAGCGGGCCCAGTGCTCTCCGCAAGATGGTCATTCATCTTTTTGCAGGAGTCGAGACTGCTTCACTTGGCTGCCGAATGCCTGTCAGTGAGTGATTGCGTAGCTGAATGCGATGTGCCATGCACTTCGGCTTCGCCGAATCATTCGGCCAACAATCTCGGGGTTAGTTGACGAATTTTTCATGTTTTAGTAGATCGTTTGGAAAAAATCGGGAGTGAAAAGGCGGTCAAGCATAACATACAAAAAAAGCATTCGTAACATTTTCGCATGGAATTATCGGCGTGGATCCATCGCTGTGGTTCCGGAAGCTAGTTTTCATATTTACTTCTTGTTCAAACAAACAACTTGATCTATATTCAGAATTAAATTTTTAAAAGGTCTAGCAATGCTATTTCGACTGCAATAGGTATACATATAGTGCCGTATAATTCTTCATTGGTTTAGCGAATTATTTACTTACCCAAAGGGAATAGTTGAATTAGGTAACCCAGATTTTTCGTCTCCAACCAACGTACTTTTATGGGAGTTCTCAAAATAACTTCCTTGTATCAGTGGATGAGATCGACCAATTCAAACAACAGTCCTCCTGATTCGGGCATCACTTGGGGACGAGTTCTCGCATAAGGTGGAAATAGTTAAAATAAAGAAATAATCAAAATTACTGAAGCTGCTACATTTGTGATAAATGTGCAATAGCGACGGCAAAAAACTCAAGTGTTCATAATTTTGTAGGGGTCAAGTTTGAAGAGGACTGTTTTCTGCCATATTTCGAGCTTCCACTTATTTGAAATTTGCGAGTAATCTGCGAGTATTTGAAATCTGCGGCTGGAGGACTCTATGTCGCCGAAAGGAGGTGGTCCTACGCGGTCATCTGTGACAAAGCACGCAACTCCACACCCTACAGACAATACAAATTTGTGACAGCTGTCCGCGAGGGGCGGAGCCTAACGGCAACATATCTCTCTCCTGCGAGTACCGGCTTTTTAATCAACTAATTTTTTGGCGACTCAAAAGTCCATGGGAAACAGCTACTTGTTTCCCGTTACAAGCTGGGGACGAGTTTGTCAGCTGTAGCTTGTGTGAATTCTTTAGCCTAAATTACTTGTTGAAAAGGGGTGCGCACTATTCATCAGGGTCACAGGTTTCCAAGGAGAAGATTTTGTAACCTCAGAATGAGCTGCTAAAACAACATAAAACGTGTCCATAAAATCTCCTTTCTCTTCGCTTTAGAAATACACTTGTTGAAAAAGAGCTGTTATGAAATATTGACGTCACAAGCGACATTGCTTTGTTTCTTTTCTTCCTGCTAAAGTCAAACAAATACTTGCCTTCAAATTGGCCTTCTTGAGATTAACTAATTTACTGCATGATTTTATTAGCTGGATGAAAGAAGAGGGGAGACCTTTCAAATGATACTAAACTTCCACGAAAAATGTTTTGTTTTAGTAAAATTTCAAATTTGAGTTTGTCAACGTAATTTGTAAACACATGGTAGTATCTGACAATTTGTCAACCATTCACTTGGCTAATCTCCTCGATATTGTACTAAAAAAACATTTTTTTTCTGGAAAAGCTTTTATTGTAATACCCAGCAGCCTCGGGGCAGATCTTCATACTAACAATAAGGAAACATTAACATTATAATCTGTTTCCTGGGTCCGTGCAAACCATTGAAATATAAGGCAAAGTTTTTTTTTACGTTACGGTAGCTTCCGCAATGACATTCCACAGTTATTAAGGATGTGACGAGCTATCTGGAAATACCAATTTATGTCCGTGAGAAAGAACCAGGTGTTGTTTTACTTACCTGACCTTCAAGAAGGTTTATTTCAAAATAATTCCACTGGGGGTTTTCGAGTAATCATCACACAATCCGCAGGACCTCGCGCACCCCATTCCAAGCATTGGCTTCAGTGGCCCTCCGCAAGATAAGGTCGTATAATACGCCCTACAAAGTGGTGGAGGGAAGATATCCGTGCAATCCTAAAACTGGAACACATTTCCACCATCTCAAATTTGAATTTCTAAAATTTACCGTTTTGATTATTTCTTTCACCTCTTCTGCAGCCCACTCGGCACAGATAGTAGGAAACATCAATAGTGCGAAATATAGAAAGAGAAACATCATCAAATGTAGAGATGATGAGGCTACTATGATTTATGGTAGTATTTATACCAGAGCTAGAATTTTACCCATGCAAGCTGACAACAATTTTTTTTTGAGCAGCGCGGTTTGTACAAATATTTTCTTCATAATTTATCACAAAATCAATCCATTCGAGACAATCCCTTTTGTTGTCGTTGGAACGTATTTGTTGCAGTTGTTTACTGCAAATTTCAAGCTTTTGTATATTCAGTTGCAGTCATTCGGCTTTCACTAATCATTCTGAAATGGTAGAGGTCTTGCAAGGTGAGTAGAAAGGGAAAAATGGTTTTCTTTCCATTCAGCTAGACGGCTACTTGTACATCGTAAATTATAAAAATGCCTTCTATTCAGCTGGTTTGAATGTAAAAATAGTTTTGAAATATTAAGCTCAATGAAACGAGAATTTGTGGGGACTCTTAGGGATCGCAGGGTTGGTACACTTACAGGGGGAGCATATTTAGTCGAAGTAGCCCTTTCAGATGAAATATGCAACCAAGTGTGATATACTTTTTATTCTAAAATGATTATTGAATAAAATGCTCTGATAACCATAACTGCTGCATCAAAGGGTTAGGAAAATTAATGAGACCACTTTTGTCTTACTTGCACAATAATTTTTTTTTGCTCTAGTAAACGCTATTAATTCTTCGTCCATAGGCATTCCACGATAGTAAGGAAGTTTTAAAACCAGTGTTTTATGACCTCCATCATGATAAACGTTCCAATTAAGAGCAGTTCGACTAAACATGCTTCCCTTGTCAGCCGAATACTCAGAATTCTTAGGCTGCGTTCATACTGATCCCGAATTTTGAGAACAGTTTCAAAACAGCGCCCAGTTCAAGCGCTGTGTTAGAACTGTTATCGAACTTTCGGATTAGTATGAACGTAGCCTTATGCTACACCCCAACCTCTTTGCAGGTCCAAAGCAGCGAGCACACTCTGTCGCGTTCATAGGCACCGTCATCTCTACAAATTTCAATCATGATCAAGCACACGACTACCCTAACTTATCTGTGTATACAAGCGCTCAAATTTTGCCGCTAGAGTCGGCCGTATGGCCAGCATCCTCATGGAACGTGCGATTGTTTTCGAACCATCAACAAACCCTCATGCCCATACTCCGCGTCCAAACATATACCGAGCATATAATGAGCAATCGCCGTCATCAAAATTCTATCCTCGGAAGCTCACCAACAAGCCAAAAGCACGATAGCATAAACCGACAGAAAAAGAGTTTAGACTAAAGTATGTCGCTCCTTCGCGAGGCTAGACGTATCCTTCACGCTTGACAGCGCACCCAGCAGGAGAGGTCCTGTCGCAAACAGTAAAGCGCGACAGCCCGACATTTCCCAGTCTTTTGTGCAAAGGAGGCGCTCGCAGCGCGGAGCTGCAATGGAGCCTTGTAAAGTGCGGTATCAGCTATGCTTTGTCAAGAACAAATGGCGGTCATTCTTACTCCAGATGACGAAGCGAACATTGTTGATCCTTTAGCGGTGCTTGAGTTATTTATATTGCAGAAAATAATCTTTCAATAACTCTGCCATATAATTTAGTCTTGTGTAATTTCATTGTTTTTCGAGGGAGCAAGCGGCGTAATGGTTGGTATGAGGCGTCAAAATGATCCGGTGAAATCGATGGGTTGACCCCCCCCCCCTTTGATGAGCCGGATCCTTCATTCTTATTCTGCTATGTTATATCGATGATCACCTTGTAAAGTATATAGCTCGTAATTGCCGCGCGGTCACAAACACCAAGAGGAGGCAAGACGGTTTTATCTCAGGACCAGAATAATTGCTTCCTTGTTGCAAAATCTTTAAAAACAATACGCGAATGAGGAAAATGATAAAAATAAGGAAATAATATTGATAATAATTCAAACTACGTATGTAAAGCTTACTCAGCGCAGTCACTGAGGCAATAAATCAATACTTAAATTATGTTTGAAAAATATTTAGCCACACCTTATCACAAGCAAAATCAAGCGTACGAACACAAATAAAAAGGATAGCGGCTATCGCGGATGCGGACAATGAACTGCCTTTGATTCACCTTTGCTTCTCGCTTTAGAAAAGTCAAACAAGACATCATCTCGATACAAAGCTGCCATTAACATCCCTTATCACATAATTCCGTATTCCTGTGTAAAATCCCGTGCAACCCAACACCTTGGCTACCCTAACTACATCACCATGTATTTATGTTGGGTTGCATGCTTGGCAACTGTGTTTCGGCAAATCGTAGGAGACACACTCGACTTGAATTTATATGAACACCTTTTATGTACAACAAGCATAGTTTTGTACTTTCAAAGCCTAGAAATCGCCTTTGTTTACTCTTTTAACCTTTTGAAGTTCCTGAAGTTATGAAAGCGGAGGATCACTTGTCGCATAAATCGCATGTCTTCTGACAAGACATTTTCGCCAACGTTGTGATCTTGCACAATACCGGAGAGACTGCGAAACATACGATGTTCGAAATTTTGTTTTTGCACTCCTCCTAAATTTGCTTTGACTATGCTATGAAGATTGTGGCTTAAGAAAACCTACCTTGGCACCAAATAAATACGCTATTTGATCAAATGGAAACATATTTAGTTCAACAGGTTCAGGTCTAACGCGATCATTGGGTAGATTGGCGCAGTTGACCAATATCAGTAGTAGCATGAAAAACAGGCAAGTAAGCAGATTCATATTTAGAGATTAACTGGTAAGTCCAGCGTAGGTGGAATAATGATTTTTGAGGAAAAAGAATTAAGCGTTTTATTCATAAACTCTCACTTTGTCTGGAGTGCATCGACTTATGCAAATATTTTTATAAACTAAGATAAAGGTTTTCTCTTATGGTTCCACCGTTGGTTTTGAAGAGCAACAGCTGCCTGACGTAGACTATTAACACATAAAAGAGTTCGTATAAACAGCTGCGCCTTTTTTCCTCATTGTTCTCAAAAATGTATCCAAGAACAGGTTCTGTATTCCGAAGACGCAAAACAACAACCCGTTAGACTCTCATATTCCTTCGCTCAAAAATTCAATGGTTTTCAGGTTATGCAGATCCTTATTGATCTTTTGATCTTAAGTGAAAAATCAGCAAGTAATGACAACAGCAATTAACGCCGCCATATGTAGCAATCGAGTGCATGTGATTTACAAGGAAAATCCGCTTGGTAGAAGTGAGATTTGGAAGGTGTTGTATACTCATGAATGCGCTTTGAAGCTGATTTTGGATATACCTATATGTATGCGGAGCATTCGTATGGAAAAAAAGTTGTGAGCTCCTTATGCCATATTTCCTTGCTTTTTGAGTCGTGAAATTGCGGTAATTTCGACATAAAAGAAAATAGGGTCAGGAAAAATAACCGGGTGAGCGTTGTAGGTCTAATCTAAAGACTTTAATTTCTGAAAGACAGTGAGATTAACAGTTTTAATATGCTTACACCAGAGTAACAACTCTGGCCACTCTTTACCCAAAGATAATCCCAGGGACAAGTTTTGGGGCCTTAGTTTTTCTGTGCTTCCTGAAGGGTACATGCCAACGATTGGTTCATAGGTGTTTTTTTCATGTGTGTTTGACTAACCATGCGATGGTGATATATTGTGTTTATTACTAACCGCTCTGATCAGGATCAAAGAGCACTTTTCGGTGCATTTAAATAAATAAATAAATAAATATCAGAACGTTTCCGAGTGTTCCCCAACCATGTTGTTCCGCAGGTCGCATTTTCCTTCTAGACCAAATTTTTATTACAAATACAAAAGAAACCATGGCTTTTTTCAGAAGAACCTTCGCAGATTGAGAAGGTATATTTGATATCAGCGTTTCAAGCTCTATCCATAAATACCAGTGGCGTACCAAATTTTTGAAAGTTACTTACATGAGTTATAAAAATGTGCAAATGACTTGTTTATTTTTGTAAACAAATAAAATAATTTTTAAAATTTTTTAAAAATTCAAATTAGCCTTGTAAAAAAATTTTCTCGGGGGCGTGGGCACGCCCCCTTTTTTCGGATTTTAGCGGTTAGGGGCCCGCAAAAATTCTGAGAAGCACTCCTAAAATTTTTTCTGAGTGCGTAGCTAATGCCGCGCACCTTCGTTCGAAAAAAATTTTTGTCGCCCCCCCCCGGAGCGGAAATCCTGGGTACGCCACTGATAAATACATATCACCTTCCGCATCAGACCATGCGAACTTTCCTTGTCAGATCCAACTAGGAGAAGCTAGGAAATATGAAATGCACTGAGCTCAGGAAATTGTAGTGTTCCGTGGCTTATAAGAATCCAATCATTGCGCTAGCACAATGCATCATTGGACTAGCAATTTACCAGTTTAAAGGGCAATCCTGGCAGTTTCTGGTTAAAGGCTGGCTTTCCGCTTCTTTAAACCCCATGGACGGCGAAGCATGCACAGCTCTCGAAGCAGAGCCGAAAACATAAAGATTTTGATGTCAGTCATATATTATTTGGTGAGAAAACCTTAACAATCCTACAAATCTTAATTAGTTTTCAACCCCAACCAGAGTCAAAAACACACAAGATTCAAATTTAGCTTTTTTGTGGCTTGTTTCTTGCTAAACCCGCTGCACTCTACTTGTGGCTTATTTCTTGCTCAACCACGCATATTATCACCTGCATTTTATTATCATCGTTAGCTACACAGTGCGTTCTGCACGGAATCAAACCTTTTACATTTTGATTTTTGTGGCTTCATCCCTGTCTCAATCCAAAGATTCCAACGACTATATATACAGGGTGTTAACGTTGGAAAAAGAGTTGTTACTGTTTTTGATAACTCATAAAGGAAGCATGACCGTGGTGTGCGAATGGTTAGCCTATGTTCTTTCTAAGCCAAATGCAATTCTAAATGGCTTAGAACCCTTTTCAAAGTCCCTATACTAATCCTGCAGTAATAAAGAGAAAGCCAAGATTTGCTCCATATTGTAAAGTTGAAGCTAGCTCTACAAAATGTTGCCTAAAGATTTTCAAAAGAGCTTGAAGGAAAATTTTCGATCAAACAGTGTGCAAATTATCTCGGGACACGTTCATAAGGGCTTTTTAGCGTAAGAATTGCTACAAGCAAAAGATATCTGCTTTTCAACTTCTCTTATTAATCCATTCAAGTTAATGATGCTATAGTTTCCGAATGAAATTTTTGATTAAAATATTAAGTACAGGGCAAAACATGGCAGAGTAAACACTTAAAACTTTCAATATATGTCGAGCTTGTTAGTCAGAGCTTTTCGTTTATCACAGTAAAGTGTACGACCGGGTATGGGTTTTGTCACAGGTCATATCTGAACTTTCTTGAAAGGCCGTATATGATGTTCAAGGGAACATGGACAACAAAATTTATTGGCATAATTCAATCTTCTTCTTCAGAACTATACTCCAGTATGGGAATATCAGTAATTTTGGCTTCAGTTGTAGTTTCAATTTTGCAGTGTCCACAAGTTTTAGGGCAGGTTATCTCTGCCACCTTTTGGATCAGACATGCACCCAATTGCAAGTGATGGCACGCGAAGGAGTCAAGATCTTTGCACTCCTGAAATAACTTCGACTATTTACGAATCGTAGTACCTTTCAGTACTTACCTTAGTGAAAAAATTTTTAATGAAATCAAACGGGCTCCATCTACGGACCCGTTCTTGCTGGCAGTTGACATTGGATAGTAACACCACAAACAACAGGCAGAGAAAATCTCTCATATCGCTGAAGGAGAGTAGGGGGCTAACAGCTGTGTTAGTGAAAATCATTTTGAGGACTTCATTTTATTATTATGGAATCTCTTTGTCTAAGAGTGCTTAGCTTGTGCAAATATCTCTCTCAATTTGCAATTGGGACCACTTTAACCTCACATGACATTCCTTGACTATCAGCGTTGACGTAGGCCATTATCACATTCGGAGGGTTTGTATGTGTAGCTGCCTACCTCTCTCGTGATATTTTATGTATATCAGGCAGTCTCGTAGTTTTCCCCACTTTAACATCAAAAATATATCTTAACAGCGAGAGCACTAAAAGGGAACAAATGCATGGTCGTACTTCGCAAGCATAGAGTATATAATCGCATGTGTGGGAGGAACGGATAAAAAAGAAGTTTGCCATTCTTATGTTTAGGAAAGGAAAAAAATACAAGAATTGGTATGTTAAGATGCCTGATGTGTCAAGTGTTTGTTTGGGTGAATTAGGGATCCATGGGATGTTTGGAATGGAGATACATTGATTTGAAGCTGAATTTTATTTCGAGTACTGTTGCTACGTAGGACTAGTGTGCGGGCGCGTTGTCTTGAAAGGATTTTCTTTTTGTAAAGTGCACTTTATGGAGATGATTTTTGTAGGAATCGATCCAAAAACCCAGCATAGTACTCGCCATCGATCGTTTTGCCTGTTTCAAGGTAGTCGATCATCAGGCCTCTCCATAGAAAACGGTAGCCAGTAGCTGTCGAGTAGGATTTTCCTCTCTGACTTTGGTAGGTGGCTGTTCACCTCTGACAGTCTAGCTTCTTTAAGTCTCTTTAAACTCTAGAATGTAGTGATGGAAACACATTTTGTCTACTGTCACGATCCGCTTCCAAAAATCCGGCGAAAAAGCGCCAAAATCCGCAAGTCAGCTTCTCTTCCAGAGTGAGCGCGCGCGGCACCCAATGTGCATAGAGCTTTTTCATCTGCATGGATGATATAGTGTGCATGCTCCACGCAGATTTGTACAGGCTTGACTACATCCCTGATAACAAGCTGACGTCCAATATCAATTTGTACACTTGGCTCGGGTTATCTTCATTGCTTGTAGTTTTTAGGCGACCAGAGGGCATCAGATCGTCTGTTCTGGTTCAATTTGTTCTCCACTTAACCCTTCAATTCAGTTTTTGACAGCGCTGAATGAAGGAGCGTAGTCTCCGTGTACGCTGTCAAGCTCAGCTTCTATTCAGTAGCGATGAGTCCTTTCATATGAAGGTGCTTGATGCGCACACAAAACTCCTTGGCATCCATGACTGAAGTTAATATCATCTTTTCCGACTTATATAAGATCAATGACAGGGAAAAACAAGTCAACTGCTCTTGTTTTCGGTCTTTAGGGCTGAAAGAGTATAAGGAAGAAAAAGGTTCATAATCATCCAAAGTACTTGAGACCAGGAACTTTTCAAACACCGTTTGTTTTTGACCAATTTGCTATTTGGAATTTTGGCCTGTTTTTGCACATTTTTCATAGGCCCCAGTTAATGCTGCGGTTTTTCGGAACACGTATAGTATTTTTGCATATTTCAGACTGATTCTCCATCGTCACGACGTTCCTGCGGTAGTAAACTTTCCGTTCGCTCATCCCCAAGGGCCCTGTCGCTGGCCTGTTCTTCACCGATTACACCTGAAGGTTTATACGCTGTACGAGATGTACCTAATAGTGAAAAAAGATCTGACGACGGATACTACACACCGCCAGATGCTTCACGTCTTAGCGGTGACATTCGAACATCACTAATACCTTCGTTCGATACGGTAGGTTACTGTACCTTCAAACCGTTGTTTTTAAAAAACCTTCCCATTTTAGATGGAAAAAAGCGGTTACTGGAATCAAATGTCCGATTCACGATTGAAATCATTGAAACGAAGATATGTAGTGCTAAAGAATAATCAGCTCAGCTTTTATAGGACAGCCGTAAGTTGTCGCAATTTACCGTAGATCAATCAATATCCATTTATCGCGTACGGTAATTTACAGAAACATCTGTCAAAGGGCGAGGACCCACTCATGAAGATAGCAGTAGCGGATATCGTTTCTGTAGCTAAAATTTCGCAGCAAGGATCGACTTATGCATTCCAGGCAGGTTTTCCCGAGTTTCTGTGCTCTTGTACGGTAAGACAAGAATGGGCGGAGCTTGAAGTTTGACTCGGAAATTATCAAAGAACTTTTTTAGCATTAGTTTTTTTTAAACGAAGTACGTTCGAAATACATGGAATTAAAAATTTGAATAAAATTCGAATAATGTCGTGGACCAGAGAAAATCAAGTTTTATAATATCAATAGTTCATTTTCCATATTTATATCGATTTCATTTTGGGAGTTTTCTTTCAGCTAGTCACTCAGTCAGCAAAATATCAATTTATGACGGATAGTGAACGAACCACGCACGAATGGGTAACTACTCTCAATACGGTAATAAAAGGTATGTCATCGAAAGGGCAGAGAACGCCCGTAGATATACCTCCCGCGGATCTGTAACAAACCATGTGTCTCTATATACGTCAAATCTGTAACAGTTGTCCGCGTGCGGCCTATCGATTATATAGCGTCTTCTGGCCTCATCCAAATATCTCCTTCACATAATTATGACTTTCCTTTTTTGTGTTATCCCCAAAATCGTTTCAGGATCAACAATTCGGGATTTAGCTACACGTTGTGCACCGGTAGAAGCGTCCATTAGCGGATGGATGACGAAAGTACGATGTGGACATTCGAAAAGAGTCTATGCTTCACTAGTTCGACAAAAGCTAATGTTTTTCAAAAACTCGGAGGATACGGTAAGTGCCACGTATCAAAGAGATGCGAGCCGTTCAAATAAATCATATTATAATCATACATCATATCGAATCAGCTATCGGAATTCGTTGCCTAGCAAAAACCTTTATGTTGATAGGGAAACGGTGAATTTGTAAGTAAATTGTGAGAAACTAAGCAAATTGAATGCAATTGATTATAAAATGTAGGTTAAATATAGTCTACTCATTTTAGACACGATCCATTTTTCTACAAGGCAAATTTCGAAAAGGGGCGTGTCGGGAGCCGATTTCTTGGATTCGAAAAATTGAGAAAATTATTAAGGGCATTTGCTAGTCAATAAAACACTATATTTACACAATTGTTGAAAGCATGTTCTGCCTCAAAACCTCCTGTCCCCTTCACCAATACTACACAATGTCATAATGACTGTATTATGATTGTATGCAATTATTTGCACTATCTATCAATTTATTTCGAGTTTCATTTCCGCAAATCATCAAATTAACAAAATTGAATTAATTCAAAATTTGATTCATATTTTCATCAAATGCTTTTTTTCACTGCCACCAAGCAAAAAATTTTCTTTTGCCATTTTCTTCGAGATCTCCAGGCGGGCATTTTACAACTATCGTAATTTCAGGTCCCATGTGGATTCACTCAACTGAAAGGTGCTCGTATCATGGACAAGCAGAAGACATCATCTGATGAATATAGCGGTAGTAGTGATGAGCAAAATATCGACAAAAGTCCGCAAATGCAGAAAAAGGACACCTACAGTCTTAGCATAGAGGTATTTCCTGAAGGAGTTTGTTTAGGCAAAAAATGAAAATGTTTTTAGATGGCGAACGAGGATCCGTTGTATATAGTGTTGAGAAGTAGTGAAGAGAAAGAGAAGTGGCTATACTTCTTGCGAGCGGCTAGTGGCGACGCGACTTTATGCGGTTCACCTTTCGCCATTTTGGTGCAGCGAATGTTGGCTGAAGGCGGAGCACCAGGTTAGTGTACCAGCATATGAACTAACACGTGATTACGTACTTTTCAATTTCCTCAATTGTAAATCTTTGGGTCAAAATTGGTGACAAGGACCAGTTTTCGTAGCGAGAACTGGTCTCAGCGGCCTACTTGAGCAATTTCTTGGAACGAGTTCTTGGTTTCGTCTCTAGAGACCTTTTCTACATAAAAATAGTGAGCCTCATTCTTCACATGAGCATGCAGAAAGCAAAAGGGACCAGTTTTCGCTTACTAGCAAATACTTCGACCCCTCCTTTCAGATTCGCCCCTGTGGAAAGATCTGCTATTAACATCGTGTGATGACACTCCCAAAGAAACCCTGATGGACTTTGAAGGACCCGATAAGAAAAAAGCGCTCGAAATTGCAAAGGTAACGAAGCTGATTGGTGACCATGATTACGGTAGCTGTACGGTAACGACATTCAGGCTACATACCTCTTCGTATCAGTGCTAATGCGTCCGATTGCTGCTCAATATCATATTGATCTCGCACAGAATATTTTATCTACTGCTATGCAGGTCAGTATTTTCATTAATGAATTTTTATATTCATGTTTGGATCCAAAATGGAAATTTTCTAGCATGAATTCCTACGCAATGAAGTGTATGCACAATTGATTAAGCTGACCAGCGGATCGATGCCCTTTTCAATCCAGGTACGTTCTTGGGGACCAGTTCTCGCTCATAAGCTCTTCCATTATTTTATACTGAAATTTTTGTTTAGGGTTGGAAATTGCTAGCAATGGCCATTCCACTTTTCGTACCGACCCAATATTCCCTTTTATGGCTCTTGAAGAAGCATATTGCTCGCTGGTGTATGAAATCCGGAGATGAGTCGAATATGGCCGAGTATTGTCAATGCGCGCTGGAACGAGTTCTTCGAGTCGGTGGACGAGAAGCCGGCCCTAGTCGACTTGAAACGACATCGGTATTGACGAGAGATCCCACAACGACGAAATTTCCACATTCCATATCAGTTAGGCTACCAAATGCGCAATATCAGGTGAGTTTGCATAATTTTGGCTAATTGTCTTTACTATTATTTTCATAATCCGGTAGTAGCGGACTGAGGAAGTGGGAGTGGGACAACGCGTAATTTCTGGATTTGGCCTATATTTTTGAAAGTGTGCAATCAACCTGCTCTCAGTTGTGAAGGGTCAAAATCGGCTCTCGTCACGCCTACCTCTTTTTGGCATCTGATAGTTGAAAGCTTGCAAGAATTTCGAATGCTTTGCAACTCTTTTAGTCCCCATGTAAATCGTATATTTCTGTTATACTTAAGCACTCTAGTTTTTTATGCTCGCCAAACTGGAATTATTGAAAGTAATCTGCAAGAGCATATTTTTAATTTTCTCTGACATTACCTGATTTCTGGTTTGCCCTAATTTCTTCTTTCTAGGTTGTCGAATTTGATGGTTCCACGGAAATCGGTCAATGTTTATCGTCCTTGTGCCTCAAACTTGGCATCCGGCCAGCTTTGTTATCCGGCTATGCTCTGTACATTGATGATCCAACCACAAAAGGATTGCAGCTGTTGAAGGGAAAACAAAAGGTACGTGAAACGCAAAAACAACTATTCGCACGAAATACGACGAAATTCACGGAATTTTTGGCTGTTAAAACTAATTACTAATCAATATCTGCAAAGTAATCGATAATCTATCAATTTTTGCAGCTTTGCGACTGTCTCTATGAGTGGGAAGTCCGACAACGAGATGTCCTGCGCGGAAGAATTTCTGCTGATTGTACTGCCACCCTATCCCTTAGGATGCGACATTATTGGAGGCATTTGGTAAATCCTGCTCAAATTAGGTAATATTTGACGAAAAATCTTTTTTCGACAGATATGCAACGAAACAGCTATGGAAAAATCATTCCTTGTTTGGCGAATGGCCGAAGAATTAGTGTTAGGCCGGATTCCTACAAGTCCACAGTTAGCGGAACAACTAGCAGCCTTATATGCACAGGTATGTGATCTATTGTAAAATTAATTTATTTGCAAGTTCATTTGCTCTTAAAATCAGGGGTGCGAAGTTGGAAAGCGACACATTTAAAAATGAACTAAAATAGAAAACAGTTGCACAGTAGAAAACTATTGGCCGCTGCATAAGTTCTGTTCGATTTTCTTATCTTATGTTTGGAGCAGCTGTTCTAAGAGAATTTCATCTCGAATGCGGTAATGTTAGTATCTTTAGAAAGGCTCTTCTTACCCTTTCTGATGCATATCGGAATAAGGGTGTAGAAGGCTAGTAGGTGCAGAAACTCACAATCAGTTCCATGAAGAAAGCATCTTGTTAGTAAAAATTATTGTCGAATATTAGTCTTTTGTATAGATGCCTTACAAGCAATAACTTTCTGTGAATAGAAGTAATCGGTGAGTTCAAAGTTGGAGGTGCTAGGGTAAAGCAAGAGCTAGCAGGGCCTATCCACCAATTCCTTTTCGGCCCTCACGTTAACGTTGAATTTTCATGATTCACACATGGGCTGAAGCGAGGTCAAAAAGTGGCTTCTTTTTTGCTCGATCAAAAAAATCATCATCGGCAGCGCAGATTCTATAGGCTTTTTTGTATTGTAAAATAATCTACGAAGATCTTTCTATCTATCCATTGTTAAATAAGATGCCTATCAGTTCTCGTAAGGGAGCATTGCCTTGTCAAAAAAGCCAGGTTTAAAGAAAAACGCTGGGAAGTTTTTGAACTCTTGCTTCTTCCTCAACAAGGATGTTCGCAGATTTCAATATGTTTCTGATAGCCAAGGAACTGTTCAGCACATAAAAACTAAGATCTTGGAAAAAGGTTGACATTGAAAGAAGTTACGACGTTTTGAACTCAAAAAATTCAAATCGGACAGAACTTATGCAGCAACCTAATATTTCAACATCTCCGCCAGTCACTTTTTTTCTTTTTTTTTCTCCGCCATTCATTCTTTGAATTCATATTTTGTAATTCAAAATTCTTCCCATCCTCTTCCCGTTGATTACCATCGTTAGGCTTGGACGGTTTCTTTTCTTTGAACATGCTTACATTGTTCATGATTTTTTTCAAATTATATACTACACACAACATTCTCGGAATCTCTTTGTAAGGAACCTAACTTGTCTTGATAACAGTTTTATCTAGGCGAAAATCCTTACCTTTATTACAGTAATCCTACAATTCCTGCTGTTACTACCGTATTCCTACAGGATCCACCACCCGTCAATGCTTTGAAGCGCAAAAATTTTTGTGAAAATATTGCAAGCTCTATTTTCCTAGTTGCTAACATTTGACTCTCTTTTCTCTGGTATCACATGTGTATTCTATTGTATTTTTCATGTTTGTTTTCTTCATTCTTTATTTCAGCTTTCCTACGGCGATGCACCCGCTCAAATCACTGATGAACAATTCGCTTTCATTACTAAGCAATTCTATCCCGCTAAGATGCTAGATGTTGCATGCTTAAAATCCCTTAGGTAGGTTTCTCCAAGTAATTATATCCTTACTTTTTATCCTTAACAGTAAGAATATATCCTAGGTCGTCGCTTCATTCGAGTTGGAATGAGCTTTGTGGTATGAGTGAAGGCGAAGCGATTAGGGTCATACTACAGGTATGGGTTACGGTATCATTGTTTACCGTATCTCCAGCACAACTTCGAGTTTTTAGGTCCTCCGTCAATGGCCCCTATTTGGTTGTCATCTACAGGCAGCTGGTATGAGAACTAGTAACGAACGGAAAGTTTTCTTAGCGCTATCGGATACTGCAGTTCATGTCATTGACCATAGACATTTCGTAAGTTCTGCTTCCCCCTTCCCCTCTTCCTCCATATTTTCTATGTTATTTTTCTTTCAGGATGTGATACGATCCTTCCCATACAATCGCTTAGCGTCTTTTGGTGGTTTTCACAATGATTTTATGCTCACCGCGGAAAGGATGCTTTTGCCCGAATCCCATCCAGAAGAAACTTGTCGAGAAAGAGTTACCTTCAGCATGGAAAAGCACGAAGTCGAACAGGTCAGTACTAATCGATTATCGATTTGTTGATCGTTTCATACTGACTACCGCTTTCAGTTGACCCTCCATCTTGCGGAATATATTCGATGTCAGAAACTAGTGTGGAAAGTTTCCAAATAGCTTGCAATTTTTTCCATCATTCTCTCAAAATCACATGTGCTCCATAAAAGAATTATGTCATGACATATGCCTTTGATATTACGTTTGTGCTTGCCATTGTGCATAGTTTCGATTGCCACCATATGTTTTATCTGTTAATAAATATGTAAGTATTGTTCAACTTTTATATTCGCAACGTTATGATAGTACATTTGAACAATGAAATCTAGAGCTAAACGATAGAACTTGATGATTAACAATTTCTTCGTTGTTCGAAATGTCCGCACGGCAATATGGAAAGTGGCTGAGAGTCTTTCATGACAATAATGCCAAGTGATTTGCCAGTTCCATTATTCTCGTCGAGGGAAGCGAAAGGGAAAAAGCGACAAATCAAAACACAATTTTGAAAATTACTCGGGAGGTAATGCAAGTCAGCCTCGTTTAACTCCCATTCATAGCAAGGAGAATTGAAGAAGGAAGAGTGGCGAAGCACCCCATATGCAGTTCAATAACAATTGAGCTCCTACGAATTTTCTTGAGAAATTGTTACTACAATTGAGCTTAGAGTGAAATTGTCCTCAGCAGAAATTTTTTTGCCGTTTCATCAACATCCTGCAGAAATACTGCCTACATCAAAATATTTGCAGCGTTTGCGGACCGGTAACGGATTTATAGCCGCACTTTGTCTTTAACACTAAAAAGACAAGAAAGTGCTTAGTTGTTTATTTGTTTTATCTCCCAAAATATGTACCCACTGTTTGATCGTAAATAACTCTCTTGTAATGAAATGTTTCGAGAATTCAAGGTACTTTAAAAGTTCCGCTTTCCTCAAGCTCGGCATCGTTTATATTCTTCAATACTGCTGTGCCTGACAGGTTTGTTAGATGTTCTTTATTCCAATCAAGGCCTAACGACGCCTTTCGTCTTCCTCAGAGGCCTGAAAATGGCTCAAAGCGTCACCTGTGAAAAGAGTCCATCAAGCACCATCCCCATTCCTGCTAGTTCTCGATCTTCGCTCAATATCCCTACCGCAAAAATTGTCAGCGCCAGAAAATGAACATACCCTTGAGAACACCGCTACGTCAGTTTCCGCACCGGAAGTGATGGTCTTGGCGGAAGGACTGAACGAAACCATAAATGCACATAGCATGTGATCTATAGATTGCATAACGATATGAATGGGAGGAAGTCGTTGGTGACTGACAAGCACTCATTCTTATTGTCCATTGCTGAATTCTTTGCAGAAATCCAGAATGCTTCCAGCGCCTTCCTAGCCGAGGTTTCCTTCTCATAAGTTAAGATTTCGCATTTTATATCGAAACCATCCCCACCATGCGCTTCGTTTCTATGCCTGCCTAACGGTGACAACAGGGTTTTACGCCTTTTGTCTGCCAGATGTTCGTTTATGCGAGTACTAAGCGACCTTCCAGTTTCGCCAATATAGAGAGCATTGCAGCTAAGGCATTTCAATTGATAAACCACTCCCACTTGTGCACAGTCACCTATTTTACCGTACGGACAGACTACGCATCTTTCTGTTATACAGTATCGATGAAGTCTGTTTCGAATCAACTGCTTTTTGATATTGTCGTTTGGGATGTTCACTAAAACAATATCGTCTTGCAGTTGTGCGCGTATTATGCACTTTCGAAAAGCCGCACTGATGTTATCGGAAATAAATGGCAGGCACGAAGGATTGTCCAACAGCAACAGCTCGCGACGTCAACAGCTTACTACCCCCAATTCTTTTCCCGCAGTCGTTATACAGACAACCTGCTCCCGTCCCTGAGATAGACATTAAGTTCCGTCTCTTATGTTCTGGTGTTCTCGAAGTTCTGAATAGAGCGAAAAATCAACATCAGACTAACCTGACACCTAGACAGCGACAGGGTTTTAAAGAGATACGTGAACTCCTTTCTAACGGTTCGGTGCGATTGTCTGTAAGCGATAAAGGTGGCGAATTCGTAGTAATGCCCCAAGAATTGGATCGCCGAATAACAACGCTCTCGAAGTTGGACATTTGGCGGACACCACCACGTATAGAGTTGTCTCTGCCAAAGATTTTCAGTCACAGTATAGAAAGTTGAATGACGCTTGGACTACGATAGCTAAATCTGCCGGACTCGACGACAGATTTATAAGCAGGTTAAAACTCAGGTCTCCAAGTTGTCCAGTGTTTTACAGCCTTGTTAAGACGCACAAGCTTTCCTTGAAGGACATGAGTTTGACGTCAGCGAATACTTACAAAATCAGACCTATTATCAGTTGTGTAGGCGGTCCCACCGATCGAATTTCGTGGTTCTTGAACAAAATCGTGAGCCAACTGCTACCCAAAGTACCAGCACATTTATCCAACTCGCGTGATTTTATCGAAAAGCTTCGAAGCGCCAAGTTTGATTCGAGCACTGTAGTCGAGTCATTCGATGTGACTTCGCTCTACACTAATGTGCAGAACAGCCAGGCCTTGCAAGCGCTCTCAGAGATGTTGGATAAATATGCCAATACCATCAATACCCTTTTGGGCTTGGTAAAAGGCGGACAATGACCCTAGTGAGCGAATGTTTGAAATGTAACATCTTCAGATGGTCTGGGACGTACTACTCCCTGATACGCGGATTGGCTATGGGTCAAAGGCTAGACCCTGTCCTCGCCATTTGCTTCATGAGTAAAATCGAGGAACCGGTGCTAGCCCGCATGCCGCTGATGTACTGCCGTTACATCGATGACTGCTGTATATTTACGTCCACACAGTCCGAAATGGACAAGTGTTTCGAAATTCTCAACCAGCAGTCGCAGTACATAAAGCTCACACGAGAGATACCGCACGACGGGTGGCTCCCCTGTCTCAACGCACAGGTCAAATTGTCCAATGGCATCGTTAGCATGAAGTGGTACAGCAAGGAAAGCTCAAAGAACATTCTTATCAATGTAAGATCTGCGCATCCTGCATTCAAAAAACGAGCAGTGATTAGGAATATGTTCAAGACAGCTATGCAGATGTGCTCCGGAGAAAGAGAACGATGCGAGTCAAGAAGTTTAGCCTCTCAGATTGTAGCAATGGTTACCACTGTCTACCGCGTATTCAACATCGCACAAATGGTGACCATACTCGTGATAATAAGCCTCCAGTGTGCCTGCCATTTATTTCCGATAACATCAGTGCGGCTTTTCGTAAGTGCATAATACGCGCACAACTGCAAGACGATATTGTTTTAGTGAACATCCCAAACGACAATATCAAAAAGCAGTTGATTCGAAACAGACTTGATCGATACTGTATAAAAGAAAGATGCGTAGTCTGTCCGTACGGTAAAATAGGTGACTGTGCACAAGTGGGAGTGGTTTATCAATTGAAATACCTTAGCTGCAATGCTCTCTATATTGGCGAAACTGGAAGGTCGCTTAGTACTCGCATAAACGAACATCTGGCAGACAAAAGGCGTAAAACCCTGTTGTCACCGTTAGGCAGGCATAGAAACGAAGCGCATGGTGGGGATGGTTTCGATATAAAATGCGAAATCTTAACTTATGAGAAGGAAACCTCGGCTAGGAAGGCGCTGGAAGCATTCTGGATTTCTGCAAAGAATTCAGCAATGGACAATAAGAATGAGTGCTTGTCAGCCACCAACGACTTCCTCCCATTCATATCGTTATGCAATCTATAGATCACATGCTATGTGCATTTATGGTTTCGTTCAGTCCTTCCGCCAAGACCATCACTTCCGGTGCGGAAACTGACGTAGCGGTGTTCTCAAGGGTATGTTCATTTTCTGGCGCTGACAATTTTTGCGGTAGGGATATTGAGCGAAGATCGAGAACTAGCAGGAATGGGGATGGTGCTTGATGGACTCTTTTCACAGGTGACGCTATGAGCCATTTTCAGGCCTCTGAGGAAGACGAAAGGCGTCGTCAGGCCTTGATTGGAATAAAGAACATCTAACAAACCTGTCAGGCACAGCAGTATTGAAGAATTCAAGGTACTATTTTGTAGAGAGGGGATGAACTTAGATTCACAGTATGGAGTGAATCATCAATCGCTCTTCGTTACTGCAGTATTACAGTAAGAACTTCCAGCATATGAAACCATTGTGAAATATACCACCTAACAAAATTTTTTCAAAAAATCTGAAAAATTGTGTACTAGTGTTTTCGCGCATGCTGATTACACCTAACAATTTTTTACGGGTGTTTTGAGCTTTTTTGACGGTGCAATTGCATTCCTGACAATGCTGGAAATTGAGTTATTACGATTTACAGGAGATAACTTAGGAAAGAAGCATCACAGTAAGATGGGAATTTCAAATTCGAAATCAGCGGCTCCCATTACCGTAGTACAGGAGTTTCTGATTTTTGGTTTTCGAAGCAGAATATAGCCTTCAATGGCCTAAAACCCTTGTCGAAGTTCGTACCGCAATCGTGCAGTAATGAAGGGACTGTAAATCTAAGTTTGACCTCGCTTCATAAAATAGTACTTAAAGGCAGCGTCCACCCAGAATTTAACCCCCCATGTTTTCGTCATTCTGGGGCCTTTCCGTGGCCCTGATTACAGTTCCGAACTTCAAACTCTCTAAAATTCACAAAAAACCCGATACTTGGGGACCCAGTCTTGAGAGCGCGGACGAGTTTTGAATTGCTCGTCCCCGTCGGCAGGCCAGCGGGAAGGAGCTGCAACTGCATGGGTGCAGTTGCATTGCAGTGTGCAGTGTGCAGCTTCTGCTCACTACCCTGTCAATACGTGTCGGGAGGCACGTATTGACAAGGTAGTGAGCAGTCCCTGGTGGGCGGAGTCTGATATCAGACTCCGCCCAGCCAGGGACTTTCAGGCCCCTTATCTCCACTCAGAGACAACGTTAGAAGACCGGACCAACGCAGATGCCCCTTTTCTGGGGTCTACATTCAGGACCGACACTAATCGGAGGGGGTTAGGTTTAGCCTGGACACTGCCTTTAAAGCTTTTCGAAGCACTCCATTACTAGAGAGTTATTTACAATCAAAAAAGTAGGTACATTTTTTGGGACACCCTGTTTATAAAGCCGAATGTCCGTTTGTCACTGTATATATTATATATATATACATATATATATACATATATATACATATATATACATATATATATACATATATATATATATATATATATGTGTGTGTGTGTGTGTGTGTGTGTGTGTGTGTGTGTGT